ATTTACGTGACGTATACTAAAATTTCATTATAAGCTATAGTACAATATAATATGATAAACCTATGATTCAAGGTTTATTATAAAATATGATGTTAGTTTCCTGACTTTTTCTTAGTTTTAAATGAGTCGGCAACAAAAGATAATCAAATATACTTGGGTATAAATACTTAGGTATACATAGACATAAATTAAAAAAGTATTTAATTGTTCTTCTTGTTGAATATAAATAGGCATCAATGATAAGTTACTATGTAAATAGTATTGAATACATATATGGGTACCTCCACCCATATGGTGGTCTTTATTTTTGAAAGCAGTAATCTTATATAGCAAGACATCTTACAGTTTTATTCGATTCAATAGGTGATAAAGGATAATTTAAGTAAAATTTGAAGGTGATGCGGTATGTGAATCACATATCGAGCATTAGTGTTTAAAATATTATGAGAAGAGGTTTAATTTTGATATAACTTGTAGACATCAAAATATCATACCATCTACCATAATATAATGATATTTTATACATATATATATATATATCATATATATGTATCATGCATACGTATTTAACATTCGTATAGAAAACAAAATAATCAATAAAACAAAGACCTGTAAAAAAATATTAACGAAATCATTTTATAGAGCTAAAAGATATTGATGGACAAAACTAAGGGAAGTCGCATTTTTATTGGTGTCGTTCAGTCGTTCATAGTGCACCTCTCTATTGTAATAGTCACTGTAACTTTTCTGTTCTAAGGTTATATCAACCATCAATACACTATTTGTTTTTTCTCTCTAATCCACACGTAACATATCGCATTTATTTCCATTAGAACCAACCTTGTGTTATTGTACTGGAGTACATTGACCTATTGTAAAATTTGAACTACATGAAAATATTCATATTTGCGCAGTTTTGACGATTTCATAAAAATTTAGCTTTATAATAATTATTATTAGTATTATACTTTATTATTTAATTTAGTTACTAAAAATTTATGATGAGAATACTAGTAATTAATTTTCAAGTTTTTCACCAACAATCAAAAATAATACTATACATAAATCGAAAAAAGTATTGGTAAATTTCTGATGTTACGAAATTTTTGAAATTTATTTCATGTGAGGCGTGTCTTATATGGTCAAGATCTTAGGCGAAGTGTGCACAATATAAATTCGATAATATAAAGTGTCTTAAATGATGTTCTCAATAGTTTTTCGAATTRAACAGCAAAAGAAAAATTACTAACACAGGAGATGTTTGAAGATGTTATGTGATCTAGTTTTCACCGATTATTTGCTAAGAACCTTGACTTACATATATCACTATATGATTTTTTTTTAGTTTTATCATCTTAACACATGGCTGCAATAATTTGTAGACGAATATATCGAAAATAGTGTATTGTATGGCTGTATTTATTTTTTTTTTTTGTTACACGTAGGTATAGTAATTAGTAATATTTTAAAATATATAGATTGTATAATTAGTATGTGCAGAGCCATGCCGTAACAATTTGGCGCCCGGAACAAAATTAAAAATATTTGCTATCCTCCATTAATTTATTTTTTAATCTTTTTTTTTATTATTATTATCGCATTGATATTTTATTATAGGTACATTTTTAAAGATTTTTGTAAAAATAATAAAGTAACTTAGATATTAGTAHATTATGCAATACTGTAATTAAATAATGATACAAATAATGCAAATAAATATTTTTATGAATTTATGATCATTAGTAAACTTTATTTAGGAATGATTACAATACCTATATAATAAATTCAATATTTAATCTGCCTTGTCGTGATTGAAGCAAAGTGTTCTATAACGTCTTCAAAATTGATGTTGTTTGTTATTTTATTTTCAATTGATAGTATTATCGAGTAAATTATCTTTCTTGGGACGTATAGTTGATCGTAAGTGTATGTTTTAATTAATTTTAATTTACTAAAAGAAAATTTATCGTATGCGATAGTATCATGCAAGGTATAAGGTATAATCTATATGTAATTACTAAGTTTGGACAAGCTGAATCAAGTTCATATGATTTTATTTCATTTAAAATATTTAAAAAAGTCGCATTCTRCTGTACATCTCGTAATATTGCTTTAGCTTGATATTTATGAAATTATATTTTGTTAATTATTTCTGGACTTACATCTCCATTGTATCTTATTGCTAAGTCAGCTGCATATTTCTTCAATAATTTAATTGGTGTATAGATAGTGAATATCTAGAAAGGGATTTAAACTCATCAGAAATAGGTAGGTAACAGATATTTTTTCAAAACGTCGTTTCATKTYAGCCATTATATTATCAAAAACTTTATAGCAGTATTCCATATTGTTACTAAATAAATGATCTGCAGAAGACCATATACTTAACCGTTTTTTTGTTAGAGGTTATTTGTTAAGATATTGCTGTATAGTACCTACCTATTATATTAAGTTATTCCGATGGAMAATGAACTTTTTGGTGCCCTCTTAAAAATTTGCGCAAGTGACATAGACGCCCGCTTGCCCCCCTACAGCACGGCTCTGACTATGTATAGGTTATATACCTATCTTTGATTTTGGAGTAGGTAACATTGAAMTAAGATAGGTAGGAATCTTTTTAAATTTCTTAACATAAATTTAGAATACCTTATATTCCTATAATATATCCGTTCGTCAGTTRCCAATACATAGTTTGATAAAAATCGTAAGATTAAGATACTTAAGATTGTTTGTATTGAAATATTTAATTAGTAATTATGTTAGTTGTCGATTTTGAGTAATTACTTATCGTATAAGTATTTACCTAATATACATCCCAAGTGTCCAAAATATTAATATTACCGAATTCTTTTAAAATTATACTTGCRGGAATTATGGTTTACTGCTTTGTATTAAAATACATTAAGAAACCGCTGTTTTAGACGCTTGTGGAGTGAGCATTTCTAACTTATTGATGACTAATTTTAACATTTTTGAAAAAAAAAAAAGGCTCGCATAATAATTATTTTCATTAATGTATWGGACAACAATAACATTTACACTTAAATTACATTCAGATAATTTACGATATAGATTTTCGYGAATTTGTTGTATCAATATTCTCAATTCTGCGTGACAGAGACAAAAAAACCTATGATGTTAAAGGGTTTACTGAGGTCCAAGACTATCAATTATACTATAAATATGATTGGAATATATAGAGAGAGAGAGATATGATAAATACATTAGAATGTATATGTACACCTATATGACATTGACACGGTTATGTGCCTAATCATGTTGTGAGGGGATGAGTTGAATCCCCGGCGATTACACTCCAAGGATAGCCATAGGCAGTTAGTTATATTATTTTACAAAATATTCAACTATTATAAAAAAAAACCACTTGTATAGGTAGTTAATTTTTTTGTTTAGAACTTCCTCGACGTTTCAATTTCTAATAATGATAGTCGGTGACTGATATAGGCAGTGTATCATTATGAAACGTCTAAATTATGTAACGAATAGAGTAAAATATGTCCTTAAAAATATACGTATGTATATGAACATTATGCAATCAAAATATTGAATGTTTCTAGGAATTAGTACGAATTATATATAGTGTATGGGACGATTATAGACGTTGAGGAATTAGTTCTCAAACGGAGTGCCAAAATGCTATGGACGATAAAAACATAGTTTCTACAGTTTTGAAAACAGTCATACATTAAAGCTTTTTAAAACTGAAACAATTTTCCAATTGTGCAATTGATCCCCTATATTATTATTATATTTTAAGACTTAAACATCAGACTGTATATAAGATAGGTAAGATAATTATAGATAAGGAATTATCGTCTTGCAGGAGGAGGGACATAGGTAGGTACTCTTCTCTTAAATAATAATCATTCCAAAATGAAGTTATTTTATAGTTATTTTTTTTTTTTTTTACTTTTATTTTTTGTAAACCGATATGGACGAATGAACTTACAATAAGTTCCATACAGAGTTCATATAGATTTAGAGTACTACTAAAATTGCGAACACTGACAAAATTCAACAAGGTAGGTAACTAAAAATATTGCTCTCGAAAAATTACAAACTCCCCTCTCTTTTCATATATTATTATCATCTACATAATGGATCTAAAATAAAAAGTGACAAAAGAAGTTACACAGTCTAATAAACGCTTTTATAACCGTCAGCCCGTCTCCAAAATCACTACGGCCCCGCATTAATAAATGATTTATACACCCAATTTATACCTTGGAACACAAGATTTGAGTCTAAAAATAAAATGGTATCATGGGTCATGGCTTATTAAACAATTAATAAAGAAAAATACTTTAAGTACAGAAATAAACAAATAATTATAATAATTATAACCATACCCAATTATAGTGTCATTAATGGGTGGTTTCTTACTCAAGTTACCTATAATGTTTGTACATAAACCAATTTCATAATCACATTTAATTATTGTTCTAATTTTATAGATTTAAAAAGAAAATAACATTTTGAATCAAACATTATATGTTTATTGTTTATACGTTACGAATTACAATAATGTGTTTAATTGGGTAATCTATTTTATCAAACCTAGGTATTAAATTTCCAATTGTCTACCATATTTACTAATTTACTATTTAGAAAATCAAAGCTCAGACAAGAATACATTTTCATTTTTAAGAAATTTTATTGGTACCTACAATGAAAAGCAGTAATGAAAAATTCAAAAACATTTAGTGTATAACGAAAAAATTATAATTTTATATAGGTACATACATTAAACATTTAAACAAATATGAATGTTCAATTTAAAATATATTTATTAAATTAACTTGAAACCAACATTTATTCAACAAAATATATTGTTATGCGTGTAACGTGCTTAAATAATTATTCACATGTAATATTTAGTAGGATTGGTAAAAGTATTTATACTTTTAGTTTATCAGTATTAAAAATAATATTAATATAATACTTAATTTGTAGTCAAACTTTATAACAATAATAATCATCTAGTACCTACTTAAATTGAAATACAAATACACAGTAATCATAARTGATTATCATAAAACAATTAACAATAATCTYTGACAAATATCAAGATAAAAATACCTTTCATCGTTAATACTTCATAAAAAAAAGTTTGKCTTATACACTAAAGAACAGGTTTGGTTTACATATAGATAGGTAATATAATATAGGAAACGCGATTTTCGGTGCACGGTTTTACTAGTCCGATAGTAACTCTTGTTCCAAATTCGATGGAGCTTTTGTACTATTACCCGATTCGAATCCACCATCGTTGCTTGATGCATAATCATTTTCGGCTTGATCGGGATCGTCAAAACTGAAAAGTATACCGAAATAAAAAAAATATTTATTGCATGTTTTATCTAAATGATTTAAATATTCTTAATGAAATATGATCTTCCTGTAAATGCAATTCATATACAAGATGTATTATAATTTATCAGATGTCAAAACATACATTTTTTAGTTRTTACCTTTATTTTTCATATTAATCAAAATTTGTAAATATTTTAATATTATATAAACAGCTTTTTCAAAAAAACAGGGAGGTATAAGGGCCTACAAGTAATAGGAACAATAACTATAATCGTAAGAGATGAAGCAGATTTTTTTTTAATAAATATTGTATGATAATATAACACCATATTTTGTTTGARTATTTAATTATGAACTTAAATTAGTATTTCTTTTTTTGATAATAAATATTATATATTCTTAATCATATCTCAGTAGATTTTTTTATTCATATTAATGTATATACTTTAAAAAACATGTGAATTAGACTTTAATTTTTTTGTTTATGGWACTATTCAAATTTAATGAAACATGTTCAAAACTGAATATTATAACAATCATTATATAGGCGAGATAGTAATAAAATATGATTTTCTCACGTAAAAGGTTTTTGCTCTCCTCTCATTTCGCATATGACGTTAGTCAATGCCATTATGTAGTTTTTTGCCAATGTCAATGTCTCCAACTTTGAAAGTTTTCGGCCCATTTTTACATGAGGCACCACTTCACGTAATTTCTGTAAATCAAAATCATGTTGATTAAAATATAATGTAAMAAACTGCAATTTGTCATGTTATTAAAGTTTATCATATTTTTTTACTCATCACATTTTCCTGATATTTTAATATTAATTTAACYTAACAGTCAAACACTTATCTTAATAGTCCGAAGGTTTATACCATATGTTAGCTTAAATCCTTAATATTAAATTATAAAAAAAAAATTAAAATATTTTGTAAAAGGTTACAAGGCATAATTTTTAAATGTTTGCCTAACTCCTTCAAATTATCACATAGGCAATAAAACAGCATAYCTTCACTTTTAGTAGTTTAAAAATAATTTCATGAAATATCGAAAACATTACCTAGGTACCAATTATCACATAATACACGGTATGCTGCRAATACTTACATAATAATAATCTAATTTAGATCTATTAAACGATGCATAATAGATTATATTACATTAATGGAATCGATTAAATATTTAGTGAAATTTAAACACAGTAGTGAAAACTTCGATTAGTCGATCTATGCAAAATGTCACTATTGAAAATATCATGATGATATATTTTAATAGCGTAGTCCTTAAAAAAACTTGAGGATCTAATAACAATGTCCGACACCAAGCCATTACGATTTGAAAATCGTTACATGGTCTATCTTTTAATATTGCTAGAGTCCCTGAGATTATTATTGGAAATTGTTTAAAATGGAGACAATGACCCAGTTTGCTCTATTTAATTCAGCACTGTGAGTAATTAATTATACGTCTAACTCRCACTTCTTAAGGACATCATATATAGGCTAAATATACCTGTGGTTTTGAACCAAATATCTTAAAATTGATTTAAAGAAATCGTTTTAAGAATGACGAATGGTTGAAGATTGTATATATAATTTATAAACAATTATRTAATATCATAACWAGTAATAATAATATGTACTTACTAATAATTGCGCTAAAATACTTATTAAGTTCCGTTATTATGTAAATAGTTTAAAGTTTAATAAAATTATAGTTTATTCATTTAAAATTTAAATGATKGGTTTCAATTAACTGAATTATAAATTATAGTAATAGGTATACAATTAGTAATTACCAAACAATTATATTTTGGCAACGTCTTGGCATCTTTACTGGGAGGGTAAATTCATCAAATTGTTTTTAGCGAATATGAAATAGTTATATAAAGTTACCTTCTCAAATGAAATATATTTATATAGGTATATAGTTAATATACTTATACTATAACAATATAATGGGAAATTGTTGATATAAAATGTTAAGTTACAGTTATTGAGGTTAATGCAAATATTAATTATGTATTTAAAATTTAGTTTATTGGATTTTATGGAATATCTTCGAAACAGTTATACAGTTATGTATGTATTGGTGTTTTCTGATTTTCATATCAAATTGACTTGAATATTATCAATTATTTATGACTAAAGTCAATATCAATTATCATTCCTTTTCAGTACCAAACTGATTAAAACACTGMAAAATTACGTCTCTCCAACATAAATTTTATTTTATTTTTTATTTTACTAGTATACCATGGTTTCCCAAAATATGATACCTYCATATCGTATAGTTATATATTTATGAAAGAAAAAGAGATGGATTATTCGTGAAAGTGTCGTTATGGTTACGTTTACTATATTTATTACTGAAAATATCAAAAATGTACATCACTACTAATAACTTATCTAATTTCGAGTCATGGTAATTCAATTATTAAACTGCGTCAAAATAGAATTATAAAATACTATATTATATATCAGTGTGAATGTGTATGCATATAAAAGTAAAGATACTCGTTTTCGAGTATATTTTGGTTTACGGTAGACAGCATAAATGGGTCACGCCGTCAGATACTGAAAAATAGTATAAACGCTCAAAATATATTCCTGTATGAAAAAAAACTCGATGATAACCATAATATTATTCGATTTTCCATCACTACAGTCTAGTTAGTGCTTTATAAAACTTAGACATTATCGCGGTTACGCATCGTTTTAGCATTCTTATAAATCCGAAAAATGTGTTATTCCTAAACAAGATTATGCGTGGTATTTTTTTAGAGCGAAGTAGTACATAAAACGATATTTTATTTTTATATAAAATTTGACATGTTATCAATTTCACAACGTGCCTATATATATTACATTAATTTATAATATCAATGTATAGTCATGATCTGTGGTGTGCTTACCTCGAAAGCATCGTTCAACGAGTGCATTCGTAATCGTTCGCGTTCGTTGCTCTCCAGCCTTCGCAAGTTTCGGTCTTTGGCCGTCAACACCTCCACTGATTGCCTTTGCCTGATACTCCTGCGACATTTTCTCGTTTTTGACGCAATCGGCTCGTCACCATCATCCTCGTCAATGCTCGCCCGTCGTTTTCGCTTGCCTGTCACGGGCCTTCGTGATTTCTCATCGGAACTCTCCGTTTCGCCTATACACAATACACGTCCACAAGTGTTAATAATTTATCGCTGCTACATAACTTAATATATTATATAATTTAATGTATATTTATAATAATATTATATTATCATACTTACTCGAAGAATATTATTAACTTAAACGATACCTATAGAGTGTTCAAAAACAAGTACCTACTTGAGTTGCCCCCGTGAATTTAATATAAAGTGTGACGTGAACATGAGATTATAAAATAGAAATAGTTAACTTAAATTTCATACACATAATTTACAAATAGTACAATATTTGTATAAGMTGGCATTATGCAAAGGCGTAAGCTCAACACATCCTAAAAGTGTCCATCGTGCATTTTTATAGAAATTTGCAATTTGAATGTTGTGTGTTTTAGAAATGTATACCTATATGTTATTTTTGGAATACATACAAAAGGTTAAGAATTTTTTCCAAGATAGAATCCAAATATTACCGTAAACCTAAAATAAATCCGAATATTTACAATGCTGTCAATAATAATAATGATAAATWAATTAAATTTTAATAGCAATTGCAGCAGTATCAATTTACAATTAATTTGGCTACTAGTTTTAATGAACACACTTTTAATATTTTCGTCGTCGTCTTCGGATAGATTATTGTTGCCTGGGTGATAAAACGAACCATCTTCTGTGCTAGGTGATCTTGAATGATCAGTTGAAACGTCGAAAGATCGTCCACGAAGTTGAAGTTCGTCTAACATTTCTTCTTCAGATTGGAGATCACTCGTGCCGGGCATAGAATTTAAATGTCTGAAACATGGTAGGTATAACATAAATTATTTAAATTTATCTAAATGAGTTTATGAAAATAATTTTTAATCTCTCTATTTTGTGTTAAATATTCACCATGTATCTAAAATGTATGCATTATGCAATTAATTTAAGTTTAGTAATACAACCAAGATTTATTATTATTTACATAAGGGACAGTAAGATGTTAATTTTATCTTAATCACAATTTTGATTTAAAATATTCAGTGATTTAGTCTCCATTTTTTTTTTATATATACCCATATAAATTACTATAGATAGATATGTATTTATTATATTATGTACCTATAAACTCCAAGAAAATAGTACTGAACATAAGTTTGAACTACAATGACTTATAATAATTGAAGTTTTAAATTTAATATAATATATTAGCTATTTATTAAGCACTTAATACGACATSTAAATCTAAAAATCTGAATTTTCTATTCACCGCGAGTACACACACTTCCTTTTTCTTATAACCTCTACTTGAAAAAAATCCTTTTTCAAAGTCCACATATTAAACAAACAGTTACWATAAACAGATAAAAGAAATACAATAGTCATCCCTTGATTATTGTGTATGTTGTATAATTTCTTATAATTCTATTAGCCACTAGGTACCTACCTATCATTCATTACATTATAATTTATAAGTTACAACTATGAATAATTAATAATCATAATTATAGAAGAATGAGTCAAATAATATGTATATATTTCTATCATTTTATTATTTTAAAAATAGATTGCATTATATAATACAATGATCGATGTTAAAATTTAGAAATAATAATATCTTCGCAACATCTACCTTTTTTATAATTTAATGCATCCCAATCTTTTACATACTATTTTTTTATCAATAACAATTACGAAAAAAATTCTAATCTGAATAGCGAACAGATAAAAATTAACCATTTTATGGTTGTATTACCAATATATGACTGCGAATTGGGTGTAACCCCAGAGCGGCTGAATACTAATAAATTGTTCTAGTAACACTGATCGACAATATCCCACATTTTGAAAACATCGGTGTCTGTATATTTTTATATATACTCATGGATCCAGTGTTGATGAATTCTAAGATATTGAAATGTGGCAATAGCTCAACCAATTAGTACCAATAAACAAAGATTTACTTTGGTTAGTATTTAACTTTTTAATGTCATAAAGGCATWAAAATTATATTATAAACGACAAAAAAATTAATGATAGTAATAATATTATCCGAAGAGGATTAAATTGGTTTTGCAATTAAATCCGTTTTGAGAGGCTCCAGATTACATTAATTATACATTCAAGGTTATGTATAATATTTCTTTCAGAATAAATTAGTTWACTAAATTTTTTTATTAAAAATTAATAACAGTAATTATATGAACATAAGAACACAGGTAAAACATTTAATTTAAAGTGTTCTGCGCCTATTTATAATTACATGATATCGATGATAAAATTTTTAATTAAGTACTCACGTTATGTTTATTACACAAGCGCCTATAAATCAAAATATTGTAAGAATTTATGCTTAATAATTATATAATTATTTGAGAAGTCCTCAAAATGTACTATGTATAATTGTAGGTCACCGCCCTGTACGGCTGTGCGTATAATACATTATGATAAATTAACGTTTACAGACATTCATATATTTTTATTTGTTTTTTTTTTTTTTTTATATAAACTAACTATTATTATTATTTTTTTTTATTGATCAAAATACATCGGCGACAACGGCCATTAATCGTAAACTTTACATTGATTATATTTTTTTAAGTATCTTGAATTAAATTGCACAATTCATATTTTCTTAAAAAATAACTATTATTATAGTCAAAGGTTTGTCGAATAGTTATTTGAATAGTTATCTTGTTATTTGAACAAGATATGTAGTTATGTTAATKTCAAACATTTATAAGATAGCTGATAGAAATTAGAAGATAACCTGACCTAACCATCGGCAAGATAAATGTGCACTGAGTGGACTTTTTTATGTTTCACCTCAATGCGCTTCGCCAGTATTTCGCACCTAGTGCAATGATAATCTCACGAACTCCAGGAGCTTGTGCGCCTTATCATTATTATGATAAGTACCCATTAAATATTTTATTCTCTTTATATATCAATGATGACTGATGAGTATAGATTTTATGTTTCATCTACACTTGCACCAGCACGCACTAGGACAGTTATCAGTAAWCTGTGCCATTGCCACTTTGGTTCAATAGTGCGGTATGGTGRAAAACGCTATTATTATGTCTTATCTTAGTATTTGGATTTTCAATATTAATATCTAATCAATCTCTAAATTAAATACGAAATATATTACATATAAAATAAAGTAACATTTTGACATTWACTACACATAAATTAATAAATTATACACAATATACTTTACAAAAAATAAAACCTAATATAAAATATAATTAACAGTGGTTTGGGTTGTTTAGGATAAAAATAAAATAGGTTCCTGCTAAAAATTACATTTTTGTGTCGAATATCATAAGTTTCACTTATAAAATATACATTTTTCACTAAAATTTCTTATTAAATATTTATTTTGTTTGGATATTTGTKAATATTTCAACAATTTTATTTAAATAGTATAAATATCTAGATACTTCCTTCACCCTTAGATATATATATATTATATACCTAAATATTTCAAGTTCGTTTTCCGAAAAGTGTTGAATATGTTTTTTATAAAACAAAGTTGTTGTTTGTATTACACAGCATTATACCTACTATAATATTAATGAATCATTCTGTTTTAATCAGATTTTTTTTTTTACTTAGTTAATGAAAACTTATTTTGCAAAAATTGATACCAAATTCTTAAATATTTCGCGATACACGCAAACGAAATGTACTCTAAACACGTCTGTTATTATAACTAAATGTGGTTTTTAATAAATAATAGTACGTGCTGAATATAAACGTAAACACTGCTACTAACAGTGGGTAGGTGTTGATTATTACTCTATGGTGTTGATATAATATTGTTATCTCCATTAGGACACATATTCATCAACTAACAATCAAAATATTGATAGTGACAAAAGTTCATTGGTTTTTTATGTAAATGCTACAAGTAAAAATTAAGAATAAGTACCTCGTATTTAAACTATACATTAAAGTCGGCCCGAGATAGCYGTTACAGATAAGTGTTTTGAATATAATCAAACTGTTGTTTTTTATGCAAATTGTTTTATTTTATTTTGTTTTTCAAAGACATGTATTTCATAAACATACTATTATCACCGTGATATGGTATACTACGATTAGTAACTACTAATTAGTATAAACTGTGACTGTCAAGTATAATGATCGCAACTATATAATATATAACACAGTACGTGCACTTTGTGTATGTAGTACGTCGCTGGTTAAAGAGTGTCGATGGACTATTTTAACATACTCGCTGCGTTACAGTAACAATTTACAATAAAATGTATGAAACGTGAAAGAAATTGAAAAATAAAAAAATATATATTGCGGAAATCATTTTTTTTTTTTGCGATAGAACGTTTGATTATTACGGTTTAGAAACGGTCGGGAAATGATTCGACCGATTTTAAACGCTTTCCCTACAGAACCCATTCGAAGACTTCGAATCGACTAACCTAAAATCAAAGACCGACMGAAAATTGAGTTTTTTCTGCATAAACTAATGTTCACGTGTCGTTGAACACGTTTCTCAACGATTGAACTTCTTACAAAATTACTTAACTGCAATAACTAGTAATGACTAATAACGAAAAAACGGCAACTCACATTTCCATAAAATAAATTGGAATTTTTAATTCTCGTGAACGAATTTAAAAATCTCTTATTATACTTTCTAAACTCTAATTAATCATATTATTATCGAATACATTATATTATATATTTGTGACAAATGATGCACTGATACGAGCTATGAA